GAACTATAAAAATGCTGAATGGAAGACTAAGGAAACGTAAAAATTGGAGATATACTATGGAAAATCATGGCTACTGAGTATAGTTTCTTGTACAAAACACAATTAGATGCTATGTTTAGGAACATGGATAACAGTCAGCAGTTGGATTCATTTCCTTTCAAATTTATATGAAGCCCATCTCTTGTTCAATATCATTTTAAGCCCATTCAGTTTTGAGGGGCAAGATGAATTAAAGTCAGGTAAAGTGGACATGACCCAATTTTTTATTTTTGTTCTAAAAAATAGTAAGCAAAGACAATAGTGTGCTTTTCCTGACCTTTACAACATGCTTCTATCCAGCCTTGAAAAATGTGATTTTGGTCAATCAATCAACAAATATTTATTAAATGATTGCTATGAGCCCAGCACTTTGCTAAGAGCTGGAAATACAAAGAAGTGAAATAGTCCCTGTCTTCAAAGATCTTACATTTTACCAAGGAAATCAACATAGCCTGTACATATATTTGTGTATTTATTTACAAAATATGGACAAAATGAACAGAAGGTAACTTGCGGGTGTGGGGATCAAGGAAGAATGAAATGGCAAAGATGGCACTTGAGTTGATGGCACTGGAAGGAACCTAGGAATTTTAAGAAGTGGGAGCGAGAAGTCACAGAATTCCAGATATTGAAGTCAAAGGTACGGAGATGGCAGATCACCATCTGTCACGAGTGAAGAACTCTAAAAAGGCCAGTTTGATTGGACCACAGAATGTGGGAAGAATGACAATGTGTCAAAAGGCTAGAAAGGTAGGTTGGGGCTTATCCTATCCTCCAAAATGAGTATTCCACTAGATTGTTATTGATTGGTAAATCAGGGCAGCTAGGTGGTGCAGTAGATAGTGCACCCTGCCTGGAGGAAGGAAGACCTGAGTTCAAATTTGGCCTCAGACAGTTACTAGCTGTGTGATCCTGGGCAAGTCACTGAACTCTGTTTGCCTTGGTTTCCTCATTTGTAAAATGAGCTGGAGAAGGAAACGGCAAACCACTCCAGTATCTTTGCCAAGAAAACCCCAAATGGGGTCAAAAAGAATCACACATGACTAAAACAACTGAACGACAGCAAAGACAAAATATTACCAACACCCTCTTCCATCTAAAAGTAATTCGCAAATCTCAAAGTGCTACATAAATATGAGCTATTGTTACTATTATTGCACAGTAATTATATTATGACATAGTAAACTACATATTACTGTTATGTTGGAACTTGGAAAATGCTATTTTACATATAAAAAAAGGATTCGTTGAAGTTTCTCTGAAATTTTCCAAGTAGAGAAGTTCCTTTGGGATGGGTTTAAAAAGGTAACTTTGCTCATTGGACTAGTTCAGGGGTAGGTAACCTGAGGCCTTGAGGCTACATGTGGCCCTTCAGATTCTTAGGTGAGGCCCTTTGACTGAGTCCAAGTTTTACAAAACAAATCCTTTAATCATTATAAGGGGATTTGCTCTGTGAAGTTTGGATTCAGTCAAAGGGCTGCACTTGAGGACCTAGAGAGCCACATGTGGCCTCAAGGCCACAGGTTCCCCACCCCTGGACTAGACAATCAGATGTACCACCCAGGGTGAAAGCAATTCATAAATAACTAACTCCCACCTATACAGTACTTTTTAACTAAGTAAAAGAAAGCCAGCCTTTGCCTATAGGTCATTACATCTACAACTCCAGCAATAGCACCTCTCACTTTCTGGTGATTACTTCCTTTTATTCCACAGAGTTAGAAGAGGCAGTTCAAAACCTGATGCCACTTTATTCTTCCAGATTTCTTTCACACTATTCTCCTTTACTCTCCCAACAGATTGGACTAGTCTGGCTCCTGACAGAGCTCTTCCTTTGTTTCTATTCACACTATTCCCTAAGCAAGGCTAGGATTCCCACTCTTCCTTCTTTTAATTTGTTAAATTCCTACCTTTATTTTAAAGCCCAGATCCCATGTCACCTCTCTTTTGCTATTTCCCTAATCTTCATAATTATTCACCACCTTCTGACTCAGACTTCACATATCACTTGGATTTGTAAATCTGATGAACTAAAGCCAGGATCAGAAAATTATGTTTCCCTACTACCTGTTTATGTACAGCCTGGTTGCTGAGAATGGTTTTGACATTTTAAAATGAAGCTTAAAATGTCAAAAATCATTTTTAGCTTGAGGGATTTGGCCCTTGGGCTCTGGTTTGCAGTCCGCTGCACTAAAGTTTCATACCTATGTTGTGTCTTATCCTTACACAAGATTATCAGGTCCTAGAGAAAAGGGGAGGTCATATCCCATCTAAGGTTTCAATCAGCTTCAGCACTTAGCACACTGCTCTGCATATGGTAAATGCTTAATTAATCTTTGTTTTTGTAGTCGGCCAGCATCATCACTGTTTGTATTTAATGTGTTTTTAATCATTACAATTTTCTTAAATAGGATAAGCTACTCTCCAAAAACAAAAAGAACAGGGGGAAAATCTATGTCTAGGTAAGAGAACTTTCATCCTGAAACCCTTGGGAGGAAAACCTTTTGGATGATTTTACTAAACTTTTTTATTCAATGGAGCCTTTATAACCTAATTAAAATGTCATATACCAGTTGCAAGATGTTTGAGAAAAAATTGTCATATGAAAGTACTTACTGACAAAAATTTTGAAATAAATGAATTTAAAATAAGATATATATATATAGGGGTAGCTAGGTGGCGCAGTGGGTAGAGCACCAGCCCTGAAGTCAGGAGGACCTGAGTTCAAATCTGGCCTCAGACCAAACACTTGACCCTTACTGGCTGTGTGATCCTGGGCAAGTCACGACCCCAATTGCCTCAAAAAACAAACAAACAAAAAAACAAAATAAGATATATATATATATATATAGATAGATAGATAGATAGATATAGATATGGATATGTACATATATATTACACACATATATCCATCTGTATGTATGTATGTATGTATATGTATACCATGATCAAAATGCAGGTAAGAACTCTGGAGTACCTGAGTTTTCAAAGTATTGGCTTTCCAGACACAGTGACTGCATTTTGACCCAGTTATATTAAATGCACCCCACACCATAAAAAATGTCTTTGGTTGGTAGACACTGTATCACCAAAGGTAGGCAAAACATCCTTAGGTATGCTCAAGGTTTACCTTCAGATATTTCTTCCAAATGAAGGTTGGTTTGAGTTGTAAGGAAGGACTCCCATGTGGCAAGGCACTGTTCATAGTAGCTGATATTTTTCTCAGCTATGTATGTAAATGCCAACTTGATATCACTTAGCATGTTTTGCTTCCTTCTGCCCTAGTCAGCTTTCAGAGAATTATTAGCACATTTTATCTTATCTTCTAGTTTTCTCATCTCTTCTGTAAGCAACTCTTTTTCAGCCTTTTTGTAGATCAAAGCTTCGACTCTGGAATCCAGTTCTGCTTGAATTTGGACTCTTCTTTTCATAACCCTCATTAATATTTCACTACAAAGAACATATTCATGTACAACTGGAAAGTGGCTCTAAAAGGTCAAATATTTGTCTTTCAGTGACCTTATAGCACTTGTCAATGCAGCTGGCCACACCTTTCAGGGAGTCAACCAGATCATCTTCTGATGCAGACCACCAGGTACAGATTGGTCCACATTCCTTCATTTCCTCAAAAACACTCCTTTTCTTCCTTGTAAATTCCATGAGATATTTTGTCTATTAAGTTTATCTCCTGGCTAAATGTTCCCACATCATCATTCATTTCAGTGAACTCATCTGGGATGTTTTTAACTCCTCTCACTGAAGATGCTACAGCTCTGACTGTCTACTCCATCCTGCTAAGCAATCCAGAACCTTGTTCTTGTTTGAAGAGAGTTCCCAGACTTGCCCAGCAAGAAAAACTTTGAAGTCTTCATTAAAAGTTAAAGTTGGGTGATCAGCAATTCAATTTAAGAATTTATGCAGTGCCTTTCTTCAAGTCTCTATGAAGTCATCATTAAACCATTCCACCATGCCTTATGCCTTATGAATTTTTCAGGCAAAGGAGGAATAAGGAGGGTAGGATGTGCTTCGTCAAGTTTTCCTAATCAAAAGAAATCTTGATAACATCTTCAAACTTCAAATTCACTAGAATCAAATTCACCCTAAGATGTCTTAGTTGTAACTCTGTAAGTGATGAAAGTTTCGATTGTAGTAATGTGACTTTCCAGATCATAAACTGTAATGAAAAAGTCATTTAAGACCAGCTCTTGTTCAAACTTGTATTGGTTTATCATGGATAAAGGGGATGTTGGCATCAAAGAACTAAAAGAGTTCATGTCCATCAGGGAAGCATCCTTGCCAAAGACTTCCAAGTTATCCTCGTTCTCATCTAGGGCCAGCACCTCTGGCTTCAGCAGGATTGCCGGCTGCCACTGGGGCTCTGCCAACCACCGCTGTCTGCTCCACCCCTCTTCAGTGCTTTTAAAGTGGGAAAATAAAAGCTGCTGTTGTTTGATCCTTTAGGAACAGGCTTTAAAAGATGAAACTTTTGATAAATCTCATCATCTCCCAAATAAATAATGCTAAAAGACACAGGGTTACAAATCATCTATCATCTTACCTATTTTCAAGTAGAAGGAGGTGATTAAAAATGACAAAAACAGAGTCATCTATTTAGATAACTGGAGGAAATATACCCATTTGTAACTCAAATAGGAACAAAATAGAAATTTATTTATTTTAGGGACAAAGAACAAATTTTTTTTTCCAGTTCTATGACTTAGTCTCTTGCTGATTAGTGACTATGGTTGTAACTCCATTTCCTAGTTCTCTAATTGGGTTTTGGTCTCCACCCACCACCAAAAAACTAATAAGTAAACTCTCTCTTTTTTTTTAAATCAAGTCTCTTACAAATTGCTATAAAGCACTAGCTAGAAACTGGTTTGGAGAAAGGAGGAAAAAAAGTTACAGAGGGGAAGTCCACACCTAAACAAACATCCCCCAAATTATATCACCCCCATTACCTTGAATGTGAATCAGAAAGCACAGGAGCATGAGGAAGAATACTTTCTGCCATCTTTCCATGGTCTTCAGTGGAGGGAACTTCAACAGCTGCTCATTCCAAATAAACAACAATATTCAAAATCCCTCCCACCTTTGTGGATGTCTAGTCTTCAAGTGTAGATATGAGAGAAGGGGCGAGCTACGCGGCAAACAGTTCTTAGGTAGGGAGCATTAGCCAGAGCAACATTCCACCTTCACCAAAAACTCATAGACTTGTCAAGAATATTCTACGTCCAGGCAGCCAAAGAACAAAGGCAGGTACAGGTACATGCACGCTTGAAGTATGCGTGCGTAATTAGCTTCTCACTACGAGGTGTCAATCAGGCTGCCATGTACGGCTAATAGGATGGCATGGCTTGTCATTAAAGCGCCAATGAGAAAATGGGGCCTCTGGAAGCTGGTATAGCCTGCTCCTATACCTTGCCTCCCTTTTGGAAAGGGGTGGTACTCCAAGTTCAAAGGCACTTACCCTAGAGCCACGGCAAGAAGCTGGTTTTCCTGCACCAAGAGCACACACAAGTTCGTAAGTAGCTTGCAAAACTTCAGGTGATTCAATGTTCCCTTGTGGAAAAAAACTGGGAGAGCAGAAACCTGGTCAATCTTTTACCTTTGGATGGTATTAGGTTCGTAGAGTGAGAACTGGAAGAGACTTTAGAAATGTTGAACACCTACCTCAACCCCACTCCACCTCCAGATGCCTTTTCTGTGTTTTCATAAGTTCATCCTGCAAGTCATACTGAGTTGTTTTGTTGTTGTTGTTGTTGTTGTTGTTTTTATTTTGTTTTTGTTTTTGTTTTTTTGTGAGGCAATTGGAGTTGAGTGACTTGCCCAGTCACACAGCTAGTGAGTGTTACGTGTCTGAGGCCACATTTGAGCTCAGGTCCTCCAGGGCTGGTGCTCTATCCACTGCACCTCTAGCTGCCCCACTGAGCTCTTTTTTACATGCATTGTGCTCTTCCAGTTACCCTGGGAAATACAAACAAGTAATAAATTGAATTCTAAAAGGGCAGCTAGGTGGCGCAGTGAATAGAGCTCTGGCCTTGGAGTCAGGAGGACGTGAGTTCAAATCCAGCCTCAGGCACTTACTAGCTGTGTGACCATGAGCAAGTCACTTAGCCCTCATCACCTCACCAAAAAAAAAAAAAAAGGCAAAAAAATGTGTGATTAGAGGCAGCTAGGTGGCATGGTGGATAGAGCACCAGTCCAGGAGTCAGGAGGACCTCAGTTCAAATGCGGCCTCAGACACATAACAATCACTTAGCTATGTGACTCTGGGCAAGTCACTTAACCCCAATTGCCTCACCAAAATATAAATAAATTAATTAATTAAATTAAATCTCAGGGACAACTAGGTGGTGCAGTGGATAGAGTACCAGCCCTGAAGTTAAGAGGACCTGAGTTCAAATCTGGCCTCAGACCAAACACTTAACACTTACTAGCTGTGTGACCCTGGGCAAGTCACTTAACCCCAATTGCCCCCCCCCCAAAAAAAACCACTTTAAATAAATTGGATTCTACTTTAAAGGAGATTATCATCTAATTAGGACCATACACATGGATGATAATTTTAACTATTAATGATAGTTAACATTTACATAATACTTTTACATTTGAAAGTGCTTTACAAATATTTTGACATTTTGTCCTCACAATAATCCTGGGAGGTAGATGCTATAATTATTCCCATTTCACAGATGAGGAAACTGAGACAGGCAGAGGTTAAGTGACTTGCCTAGTGTCATACAACTATTAATAACAATAATAATTAATAATAACTAACATTTGCATAACACTTACTGTGTGCCAGCCACTGTGCTAAGTGATTTATAACTTTTATTTGATGTTCACCATAACCCTGGGGAAAAGATACTATTATTAACCCCATTTTACAAATGAGGAAACTGAGACACACAGAAGTCAAGTGACTTGCCCAGGGTCATATAGCTAGTAAGTGTCTGAGGTCATTGATATCAGGTCTTCCTAACTCCAGACCCAGCAAGTGTTCTACCCACCAAGTCACCAAGGTCCCTAACGAAAGAAGGACATTTTAGGAGTGTGCGATGTCATAAGCATAGACTTGGAAACAGGAGAGATAAGGAATACATACAAGAGTATGTTAGGGAGACAAAGAAAAGACCACTGGGATACAGTGCTAGGAAGGTAGGTTGGAGCTAGACCATTCAGAGATTTGAATAAGGATGACAACAATGATAGCTAACACACCTACCTAACAAATTGCCTGCCACACAGTAGGCACTTAATAGATGTTTATTGACTGACTGACTGACTGGCATCCAGGGGTGTTCTAGAACCATCTGGAACTGGTTTACTCAATTTGGATTGTTAAATTTTTAGTGTAAGCATTCAGTGTAAATGTTAGAGACAAACATTACAAATCTGGACTTGATTTATTGTTCTATTGAATATCTAGACTTAAGAAAGTAATGTGGTGGCAGAGAACTGGAAATTACAGGGATGCCCATCAATTAAGATATGGTGGTAGTATATGATTTTGGTGGAATACTACTATGCTATAAGAAATGATGAGCTCAATGGTCTTAGAAAAAACATGGAAGGACTTACATGAAATAATGCAGAGTGAAACGAGCAAAACCAAGAGAATGTTGGACACAGTAACAACAATATAACAACCTTGAGTGATTAAGTGATTTTGGCTATTATAAATACCCAAATTAGCTACTAAGGACACATGAAGGAAGATGCTATCTGCATCCAGAGAAATAACTGATAAATAGAAGTATGTATAGGATGATTTTACGTATTTGTCTATACATGCATACATATGTTTGTGTGTATATATACATATATATGTATATATACATATAACTCTAATGGTAGCCATCTCTAGGGCAGGGGAGGAAAAAAGAAAAAAAGAAATTTACATTATTATATATTTAAAAGGAATAGCAAGTTGTACATAATAGATCTGCAGTTTCAGTGTAAAAAAAAAGTAATGGAGAAAAAGTTAAAAATGCAGATTAAACTTAAAAGTGTAGCATGTGTACTTTTTTTTCCCTGAAGAACAGACTATTAAACATTTACAAACACACCGAGGCAGCCCTGTAGTGTTTGTTAGGTGCTTTAAGTATATTTTCTAATTTGATCCTCACAATAATAAGTGAGGTAGGTGCTATTATTTCCCCCATTTTACACACAAGAAAACTGAGCCTGACAGAGCTTAAGTGACTTGCCCAGAGTCAAACATGCTAGTAAGGGTCTGAAGCAGGATTCTGGTTCAGGTCTTTCGACTCCAAGACCACCATCCTATTCACTATGTCAATTCCAGATTAAGGACCTTGAATACACCAGTGGTTTCCAAGGGGTTGTAGCTCCAGAGGACCCCCAAGGGAATTTGCAGTATAATTTTAAGGGATATGATCCAGTTGAATCCTACACCTTCCTTGCAATAATAATGGGGCTAGTCTCCATCACAACCACACCTAGCCTTTGTTCTCTAATGCATCTTCACTCCATGATCTCAACTTGCTTTATTTTTTTAATTTACAGAGTAAAACAAGCATTTTCACAATGTAGTATAATTTTAAAAATGATTGCACATGAAACTGCAAATCTATTATGTACAACTTGCTATTCCTTTTAAATATAGAATAAAGTTATCATGTTAATTTCTTTTTTTCCCTTTTTTCTTCCCTGCCCCCCACCCTAGAGATGACTACCATTAGACACAAATGTGTGTGTATATGGGTGTGTATGTAAAATCATTCTATACATACTTCTGTTTATTCGTTCTTTCTCTGGATGCAGATAGCATCTTCCTTTATATGTCCACCTATTTTGTAAGCTCCTGTCTTCTCCACTTCAGAAATGGATTTTGACCACTAAGGACAGTTATAATCCAACTGATACCTGAGCACCCATAACAATAGCTATGTAGGTGCCATTGGGAAAATTCCTCCACACATAGTCTCTTGCCTTGTCCTCAGGGTACTTAGTGACTACAGTAGATGACCCTTGGAAGATAGGCTCTTGCACTCCAGGCAAATGAGAGCTCTACCCTACCTTCCATTTTTATCTTGTAAGTGTATATGTCTATGTGTGCATATATACAAATATACATATATACACATATATATACAGACATGCATGTTTATAATTTATAAATTACATATATATGTATATATGTATGTATATATGTATATGTGTGTGTGTGTATATATATATACACACATATATATATATATATATATGGGGTGCACGCTAAAAATTTCTTACTGGTTAAGCACAGTGAACTGGAGAATTTCCTAGACCATCAGGCTCGATGTACTATGCACTGTAATGACAAAGCCAAAGTCATGATGGATGCCAGGAGCAAGGTGCAACAGGTGAAGAGGCAGCTAGAGTCCTGTGTGACCAAATGTGTTCATGACTACATATGCATCATCCACACTATGACCAAGAAGATGAAGGATTCCCTGGCATCTATTGTGAAATAAAGTCATTGTCAGTAGTGATCTAGAGTGGGAGAATGGGTCTACTTGTAAAAATGTATGGAAAGTTTTACCATTCAGTGAAAATTTAAGAATAAAGAAATTGAGGTTGGTAGCATGGAGGGCTAATAATACCTAGACCCATCCCATCAGTGAAGTTGACCCTTATTTTACCTGTTGAAATCCTTAATGGCTTTTAGCTGGTTGAGAAGTATTCCATTCCTGGAAGCTGTAATAGCCCCGTAGGTTTAGGGGTATTAGTGGTTGTTGGCAACGACCTATTTCCTGTCTGGTGTGAGCCCCTGAGTTAGCCACCCACTCTTGTTTGGTGCCAACTTCATGTCCACCTGATTGAACCATTTCTCATAGACCACAAAGCAGCAGCTGTAAGTTCACTACTGACTGAAAAAGAAAATATAGTTTTGCTTTTCTCACCAGTACAAGAACCTGGCATTCAGAGGGAAATCTGGGAAGGATTGGAGCACTGAGCCGCTCCCTGGTGATATTTCCTTTGAAAAGGACAGTGCTCCCAGCGGCTTTCAGCTGGCGCGCCAAGCAAGAGCATAAAAGGGAAATCTCCCAAGCATGAGAAGATGTGACCTCTTCACATTGACGTCCCTAGGCACGTTACCTTTTCTTGCCTTTGGAACTGATGGGCAACACTTGAGTTAAAATTTTTGTTTTGTTTGTTTTTGTTTTTGTTTTTGAGACTAACATGAAATCGTTTTAAGTTAAAGGCCAAAAACCTCTTTTGCTTGCAGAACAATCTTAAGCCTCTGGCTTAAGAAAATGATAGACGTTTGGTTTTGTGGAAAATTAGTTTTTCCAAAGCAGAAAAAGATG